CTGAAGTAATAGAGTAGGAAAATATTGGTTTTGTCAAAATTGTAAAAATGAGTGTGAGTGATAGTAGGTGGACAAGAAATTAACACAATTTCACATATTATATTTTATATTTATACGTGAGTAATAATCACAATAATTCAAAATTGTAAAAATGTGTGTGAGTGACTAATGTAATGAATTATTATTGTAATTTTATTTTTTTTTATGAAAACATACAAAAGACTGCAATTTAGATTTTTGTTACTTTTTGTCTTTACATATTCCTATCCATATATTAGTAATAATGTTAATAATGTCAAATTTCCGGTCTTAATACTTTTTCAATTTCATTAATAATGAAATAAATCATAATTCATATTATTCATAATATAGTCATGTAAATAATTAATTTTCCCATTTACCATTGCAATATTTACAATAATTCACATAATACACAATTAATATATTAAATATATTTTACCTTAATATTGTATGATTATGATAATAATAATGAATATGCTAATAATATAGGTATTATAATATTTATTTATTAATTAATTTTTAATAATGCTGCAATAAAAGCTGCTAATAATTGCTAAATCAAAATCATTATCGTATTATCATTGTTATATTGTTATCATGCGCATTTCTTATCATAGTTGTTGGGTCTTTAATAAAGACCCGACTGTCGGGTATATAGACACAGCGTAAAATCATTATTTAATTAGGTAATCTATGTATTTTATAACTAATTTATTTAAAATAAAAATACTAAATACCAACATTATATAGTAAGAGGTTATTGAAAAAATATAAATAATTCAAAAATGATTAAATTGTTATATAAAAAATGAAATTTTGAATAGGTAAATATAGTAGGTAGCCTACTTAGGCTCTAGTAATTTGTTACAAAAAGTAAAATATAATAGGTACTTATTAAGTAAAGATAGTTACTCATTAATTAAATTTTAAGTTCGAGGTGTGTATTTCATATAAATGTTTGTTTTTAATCAGTAAAAAATCTATACTAACCTTGTTCCAGTAATATTTTTAACACTTTGCGATCACCAGTTAGATCTTGATGGTTTTCATTAGTAATGAGGTGGTTAAAAGACTCCAGATTGTCACCTTCTTCACCAATCATATCGAAGTTAATGAATTCAGCCAACTCAGCTGTATTATAAGAAAACGTATCATTAACATCATCGTTGAGTGAGTTATCCACCGTGAAACAACATCCGTCCTGATTGTTCAGTATTTCTTCCGATGCATTCTTCAGTACATCAAGTACATTAGGTGGTAACTCGGAAGTTTCATCAGCCATCATGAACAATTCGAATAGATTGCGAAGTGAATGGTACTAACACTACTAACGAGTAACGAACTAACGTGTATGTCGTATTGTCGACTGTCGTTGCTCGTAGGTTAATACTTAATTTGTTATCGACAAAACTCAATACTTGTAATCAAACATCAAACAATGGGTTTTGATTATCGAATGATGAACGAGATCGACCTCAGATAAACGAATAATAGATATTGTTAACGTTATAATAAATTGTAATATTGCAACTAAATATAGACTTAAATGAACAGGGAAATTCAAAAAGGCGCAACTAGTTATAGAAATCTAATATTAACCTGTAATGATATTGGTAGCTACTAGTTACTACTGTTACTAGCTTACGACACACGTGTGTCAATTTTCAGTAGGTATACCCGAAAAATGAGAATATAATAAGAGTGTTAAGTAATATGAAATTATGAAACCGGAGAAATTCTTAATTTGTCATCATATTTTTCCCATTTCACTATTCCGTAAATATAAAAACGATATAAATATTTATATTTTTTTAATATTGTACGTATTAATTTATCAAAGATATTAATTTGTTTAATCTTAAAAAAAACTAGATGGTAAAAGAAAATAAAGTTACAAAACTGCTGATCAATTGACAAGTAATCGTGAAACTGATCATTGCTCAAGATATAATATTATGTATAGAGTTCGGAAGTTATAGGAATTGCAATTTTGTTCAGCATACTCTCCATTTGTAATAATATATACCAAGTTAAAAATCCGAGCTATTCAATGTTGAGTTTAAAAATTGAAAATTAAAAATGCAAATTTTCATTTTTTATCGATTTTAAAGAAGGGGGGGGCATATATCTTTTTTTTTTATGCATATCATGTATATTTAATATTTTTTAAAACAACTTAATTTTTCTTCCTTAAACTATATTTATTAAAAATACAGTACCTATTTATTTTATTTCTCTATAATACAATTGTTTTAATATTGTTTTTATAATTTTTTTTGTTTATTAATTGAGTAATAATTAATATGTATTAACACTAATAACTATTAACTAGTAAAGCAGTAACTCAAAGTAGTAACTAGTAGTCAATAATAAGTAATGACATTTTTATAAATTTTTAAATAATGAACTTCCAATAATTTTTTGCATATTTATTAGATTTTTTTTGCATAATTCACATTTTTTTCATGCATATTTTATAATTTTTTCGTGCATTTTTGCCTTTTTTAATTTTTTAGCTCCTATAACTATAACTTACGAAACCTAATTATGTGTTCAAGCCATTTTATTCGGCTTTTTCAGAAAGCGAGCTGTAGATCAAAGTCTTTGGAAAAATTAAGTTTTTACAGTTATAACTTATTTAGGTACTAAGGTATAAGTTTAATATATCAATGCAAACCTAATTTTTAATTTTTAATTACAAATTGAGATAACATTTTTTAAATTGTTAACGAATAACGATGCTATTATTATTTGACGTATACCGTCATTATTTATGTCCATAGACCATATTCGTGACTTATGATGACTGTTTTTAGAAAACCATTTGTGTTTATCAAAATCGGTGTAAACTTATTCCGCAGTCCGCACCTAGATTATAATTATACATACTTTATAGTCAAATTAAATATAATTATTTTAAGTGATATGGTGAAAAAGGCGAACTACAAAAATTAAATATCGGCTTTTATTTAAAACCGTTTGGGCAATAATTTTATTATACTAGATATGTTATTACAGAATATAACATAATGATAATAGAATTAATTTAAAAATCTACGGCCACGGTTTAAGATATACCATAGGTCACGAACAAAAATATACTTATACATATGTATATCTTAGTTTATGTTTTAAATATATCATTTTAAGCGACGGTTTTAGCCTTTTAAAAATCCGGAATATCCTCAAGACCGTATCTTACCTATTATTAGGCCCTAAGTTTAGACCATTATAATAATATGATCTAAGGTCGAGTTTATTGTTATCATAAATTTATAATCTATAGAAATATCATAGATAATTAAATCTTTATTATCTATGAGAAATATTCTGTTTCTATGATAAACTGATAACCAGACCTGATGATAATGTGATTAACCTTAAAAACGTTCTCATGTGACAACATAATATAAATCCTAAAAACTGCATGTGTTATTGACGTTATTGTATTTCTCTCTTAGATATTATGTGTCTGGAGATCTTATTTCATGCACAATAAAGTACGACAAAAAGGCTTGTATTTTAAATTTTAATATTTATTTGTTTGGATTGTATTGACTTCAAAAAATGGAGGACGTTTATGCAGTGTTAAATAAAAAAGCGGCGTTAGATGTAACATCTCAACAAAGCGTTTCTGTAACTAAAGTATTAGACCCAGAAATTGATTTGGGTACACTTCTGTGTTTCGATTCAAATGATTTTGATACTCAACAACTCAGGTACAACTATCCACAATGAAATATTAATTTAAAATTTTATTTTGAGTATATTATATAATATGTATGCCATTTACTGTTCATAGATCAAATCAAGAAGCATACTTAACAAATGAAACTAGGAATAATGTGCAATTACTGATAAACAAATTATTTGAATTGCCTCTGAAGAATGAAGATGGTTATATGTATGTAGATTTACCAGAACCTAGATATAATTTACCTCGTGAAAAACCATTACCAACACCTAAACCACTCACTAAATGGCAGAAGTTTGCCATTGAAAAGGGAATTAAAAAAACACCTAAACCAAAAGCAACATGGGATGAAATTTTACAGGTATTTTTTTATAATTAGCGAAAATGTAATAATTCTAAGTTTGGTTTTTAATAATATTAGTTATACCTTGATTAAATTCTACATTAGACCTTTCATAATTTTCTTCTTTTTGTATTTATAAATTGCTTTATACTCATTAAAAATCATTTCATCATTAAAAAGATATGAAACATACTTTATTAGGCAGTGTTTTATTTTATTATCAAAACTGTAGAAATATCAAGATTAATAATATCATAAAGGTACAATTCATATAATTTTTTCAAATTATAAATATTTTTACCAATGTTTGTTTATTTTAATTTTAATTAAAATATATTTCTTTGACTAATTTTTTTTTTTTTTTTTTTTTTTTTTATTGAACTTAAGCCCGGCAACTAAGGCCATTAGCTGTTTGTAAGGGTTACGTTGTAGGTTGGTACGGTAGGTTGTATTTTTTTATGATTGTTACGGTTGATAGCAAACACGTGTATGTGTGGCAAGGTTTTTAACCACTATGATCCCGAGTGGTCACCCATCCGGGAGCTAGTAGCTGTGGCCGTTACTTACTCTCAGTCGCATTCCGCGACTGGTAGCAGCCAACGCGCCACGCCAAGCCACAATTTGACTAATTTGTCTGAAATCTTTTCACATTTAAGCATATTCTCATCTATGTGCCATCTTTCTCACATAAATTATTACAGTCCTGGAAATAGTGTAGATTTATTTTTACCAATTATATATAACTGTTACATATTCCTTAACTATTATATTGATGTTAATTTAATTTTTGGTTTTAGAAATGGATACCAGCTTATGGTTACAAAAAAGCTGCAGCAGACAAAGAAAAAGATTGGATATTAGAAGTGCCTGGTAATGCTGCTGATCCAAATGTTGATTTATTTGCTCAAAAGCGAGAAGCAAAAAAAGAGCGTGTTGCTAAAAATGAATATCAAAGGTTACGCAATATAGCTGCTTCACGTAAGATAAAAGTTCCTGCAGTTGGATTACCACCTTTAGAAGGAACATTACACTCAAATCAGGTAAATTATCTTGATATTTATAATTACTAGTTATTAATTAACTGAATATTTTTAATAGTTGAAAACCGCTGTTGATGTAGCTAAGATTTCAACTGCATCTGTTGGTAAATTCCAACCAAAATTAAGCAAGGAGGTAATATCTACTAAAAAGAATATACCAGGATTAAAGAAAGAAAAAATCCCAGCCAAGGTATGTTGATAATTATATGTTTACAATGATTAAAAGCTATATTTATAACTTTTTTTTAAGTATTAGTTTTATTTTTAATTATTTGTAAACCAAATCATACAGTATTTTTGTATAGGTAGTACCGTATCATAATATATTAAACAATTTTTTTTTACAGAGTATGCAAGAAGAAAAATCAAGTAGTCTTCAAATATTAGAATCAATCAACAACAAAAAACCTAAATTCAATTTAGAAAAAGCTGCTAATAAAGCTATTCACGCAGAAGAAGTCGAGTAAATATTGTTATAAAAACTATTTTTGAATTATTTTTTATTATTTTATTTTTATTAGGAGAGCAAGAGAGAAAAAAGAAGGAGGTGGTAAAAAGAAAGGAGGACGTTCACGCAGCAAAGGATCATTTAAAAGACCTACTGCCAATACTGGCAAGCGTTTGGGAAAACAAAAAGGTGGACGTAAACGTCGATGATTTCATAATTTTTTTATTTTATTTTAATGATATATATGTTAACTTTATTAATAAAATACAAGTCCTTTGTGTGGATTATATTCTTACTTGTTTTAATTTAACAATTCTGAATACACTATCCACAACTTAGTCTTTAGTTATATAGCCTATTAAAATGATTTGGTACACGCAATTGGTAAGGAGTTTTATATATTTAATAATTAAGGTGTATTATATATTGAATATTTGGGTTCTGTGGATAAATTTTCATTGAAAACTGATTTGAATATTTTAATATGTTTACTTTAGATCTTATAAACATTTTTTTATTTATTTATCTTAAGTAATGTAATTCACCATTGAATATTTGTAAGTGTTTAAATTTTCTTTGAATTCTTGAAAATGTAATACAAGATCTTACACGAGTTATTCTTATATTTGCATAAAAATATTAAAAATTGATAGTCACAATTTTTTTATATGCATTTAAAGTTCAAAGTTATTGAATTTTCAATTTTATCAAATAAGATATGAAAATGTGATACAATGTTCCTTATTAGTAATTTAATATTTCATATTGGTAATATAAAATTTGAAAAATATACTAATAATTATTTTTTATAAATATTTAAAGTTAACAACTCGAAAAAATTACATGAATAGTGATAATTATTTGATAGTGATAGTGTAATATCATCCCACTTTTAACCTTGACTTATGATCAAATTTGTTAATTATTTCATGATTAATTCAAGTCACAAATAATACATTTTTAAGTTTAATTAATGTTTGGTTATAACTGATGCATTTTGATATACTTTACTAATTTATTAAGGGGATGCTTTTTAATCACCATTAAAGGTAGGGGGACTGAGTCCTGTGTTCCCTACTTTAACCCCTAATTATGTTACATAATTGTATAATGTAAAAATTGGTATTGTACTCTAATAAATTTTTTTAAATTTAAAATGTTGTAATTTTACTATATAACCAATGTTATCTAATATAAAACTTAAAAACTGAAAATCTATAAACCTAAGTTTAGATAATTTAATGTTAGGAAATTTAAAAATAAAGTAAAAAAAGCTACATTTTCATGAATTAAAAGTTAAACAATTATGTTATATGTAATCTAAAACCTTTATATGTATACATATAATGTATTTATGTTATATTAGTATATGCAAGTATAATATGATATAGTATACGTATAGTTGGTTAGGTAATACAGAAATTAAATTTTTAATGAAAATTGATTTGAGCGTTGTATTACAATGAGTAACTATGGATAAGCTGTTTAGTGTTTATTGTTTATCATTATCTATTAAAACCACTATTTTACTGGTATTTATTTATTTGTCGTGTCCTTCATTTATTTCTATAATTGTTCAGTTATACTTAGGTATATAAGAACATTCATCCATGATCAGATATTTACAAATATGCACTCAAATACACTGAGACTATTCATATTTCTACGACACAGTCACTATTGCTAATATAAATTTACCTATCAGACATGGCGACATTGATACTTACTCATTTGTGAATAATTGTGAGAACCTATTATTATTAATTAGTCTCTAAAAAGGCAATAAAACTTAATGATAACTGCAACTGAGAAATTGTAATTTAAATTAACTTGTGATCTCAGTATCTAAACAAAACCATATAGGCTATAGCTACAATAAATATAATATTCAAAAAGTCTTCTAACTGCCTTCTCAGAATTATTTAACGTGTCATTCCTTTTCTCTGATCACGTTAAAAAAGTTAGTTTGTTGGAAATATGAGAGAACACAATGTAGTTAATCAATAGTTATTAATACTGTTTTTTATTTTTTACTCTATTAAAAATAAATAAATAAATAACTTTAATTATTACATAAACTATAACTTATGCAGACACATGCATTTGTAAAGTCAAACATATTTTTATTTAAAATTTGTAACATCAAATTATACATTAAACATAAAGCAGTATCTAAATTAATATTTTAAACATATATAAATATATACTCATTATATAATATAGTACAAATAGATATAATTATGACTAGATTTGTATTATGACAAGAATAATATTTTTCTTATTTACAAACTAAAATTTTTTCATTTTATTTTTATAACTAAAACTATACTTTTTTTAATAAAAACAATACAATTATTATTTGTTGTTTTATTTTGTGTTCATACAGATCATACTAACTGCCTAGTAAATTTACATTGTTGAGCAATTTTGTTTTATATGGTACTGAGGAACTATAGTTAAGGAAAATGTTTGTCTGTTTGAAAAATAAACATCACAGCCAATTTGTACTCACCAAACTTTGGGCTGTATTTTTGGAACTTTAATTCAAGAGATTTAAACTCAAAACTAACCATCGATTAAATCTAAACTGGCAGTGAATGTAATAAAGCATTAAAAAAAAATATTTACAATTTAAATGTCTGTGTTTTTTTTAATTTTATGTTTCTTACGATATGTATGCAAAAATTAAAAATTAAAATTAATTTTTTATTACAGCGAAAAAACTAAATTTATTAATAATAATAAATTATTATAACAGCGTCAACCCCTACTCAACTAACTATTTCGTACTTTAAATTTTCGGACAAACTGAAAACAAAATAGTGCGTATTGCGCAATATGTGTCTATAAAACATGATAATATGATGATGATTATTATAATTGCCTAGAATTCTAATATTGTACTAGTCCGTGCATTTCGAATGAATAACAATAATATTATAACGATGATTGTAAACTCGGACGAAAAAATCACAGACACGATAGATATAAAGTATAATATATTATATAATAATATATAATATATCATGATATAAATTATTAAATACAAACAAGGTGAGGAAAACAAATAATAATAATAATAATAATGAAAAAAAAAAACGAATAAAATTGGACAGTACGAATAGATTTTTACACGTGGAAGAATAAAATGATAATATGTATAGTATATGGATCGGCGACGGGACGGTGACCAATTTAGTAATACGCATTACGCGTTTCTCGATCACAACTTCGGACTGCCACACCGTATTTCCATCGCCACACACACATAAAATTTATAAATGTGTATTTATGCATAAGTAGACCATGTGTAGATCGGTCTTCTCAACAGGGATGGCTCAAGTTGTACGCGACCGCGAACAGTGTACAAATGGCGTACACGCCGAGTGCGAACCACCATATGAGTTGCTCGTGGAGCTTTTGCTCGAAGTTTTTCAACACCAGCAAACCGATGGTGAGACCGGCCAGCGCGCCGGCTATGTGGGCGACGTAGCTAACGGGCGGAGCGTTCGACGACGGTTCGAAGGCGTAACGGCAGTACACGGCGAAGCCGACGTCCACACTGGCTGTGAATAGAAACAAATAAAAGGGGTAAGATTAGGTTAGATACATTGTAAACGGTCGAGGGTGATGGGGAGGGGAAGAAGGTCGGCTGGTGACTTTGTACAGTGACGACGTTATAATATTATGTCAGTCGTATACGGTGAAATATCCACTGTCGGACACCACTCTAAATAGCGGACAAAATTTTAAAGATCTAAAGCGTCAGTATTTGTAGAGATTTTATTTTACATTATAATATAATATAGGTATATTATTTTAACAGCTAATGGGTTTTAAATGTTTTATTTCTTGATTTATTATAATATCAACGGTTAAGTTGTATACCTAGGTAACCTATTATATTTTATTTTCATATTATCTTCTTGTACTTATTTCATTCTCAAGAAATTGAACTATTTTTTTAAAACATATTATTCTCAATAAATATTAGGATGTGGTGTCTAATAAATTCATAAATATGTACTTGAACACGTGAAGAATTAACTACCGACCATTGTTATAAATAATGATTTTTTTTTTCAATCAACTAATTTAAAAATTAATTTTAATTTTATATTTTTATTTATATTGACTATAAGTCTATCTATTACATTTAAGTTACTTACCGATAAACAATATGCCAAGCAACCGAAACACTCCAAATTCCATGTTGTTATAATTCTAAAAAAAAAAAACCATTTAAATTAAGATTCGCCGTAATAATCAAAAATAATCAAAATATTGAGTTTTAGTATTTACGTATAACATTTTTCAAATTTTTAATTATGAATATACGTAGGAATTTTTTTTTATTAGATTTTTTAAACTGCTTATATTTATATAAAATGAAAAATATTCATTCTCATGAATAATACCTATCTAATATCTATTTAGTACGTATAGTAGAAGAGATGATAATTATACATAGGAAAATGGACTATTGTATTTACAATACTACACAAAATCAGTCGATTTTCGGCACATTATTGCATATTTTTTTATTTAATACAATTTTATTGAATAAGTAAAAAAAAAAATGTCTTCTTACCAACATAACATTAGCTAAATGAGCAGCCAGTAGAGCGTATACTCCACCTGATGCACCAACGAGATACACGTTACTATCAAAAACTGATGTACCCAAGGAACCTAAAACACAACATCGAAGATTAAACAAAATGTAGATATTTGTTCCAATCGTTTTTTGTAAAGTTTAAAACATTATATTAAATAAATAAAATACATGAAGCTCTTTAAGTTGAATACATACCTGCTAACACACCAGCCATGTATACAACCCCTATTCGGAGTGAACCGTGCACCATTTCTAATGGAAGACCCACAAGCAATTGGACGGTCAAATTGAATATTAAATGGACCCAACTAAAAAATAATAATTACAGTTAAAAACTTGTATGATATAAATTAAAATAAAATATATAGGTATTAATGCTCTATTCGTAATAATAAATGGGTAATACGTTATACTCATTATTTGCATCTAAAAGAAAAATTAATGCAAAACTTAAACACTTACCCAACATGTAAGAACATGTACAACATAAATCTCCATAATTGTTGTCGTTTGTCAGGTCTATAAATGAACACGCTGTCCATTGGCACAGGAGCGGCAACTGATGCCCATATGTCACCGGGAGCAGGTGTAGAACCCAAAGTTAGAGAGTAGTAATATAGATAGGTTCCCAACTAAATCAGTGAACAAAAATACCACAATTAAATACTTTACATAAAATATTTCGAAAAAATACAGGTTGCTTGTACCAGTAACATAAAAAGGATTTTTAAAGCGGTGAGGGAGGGGGTGTAATAAGTAATAAGTAATAAGTCCAACAAAGAAATTGGTTTCCATAACATTTGTATTTTTATTATTTACCTAAATTTAAGTATTATACAATGTAAATTATTTTAATACATACTAACTATTAATATTTAGTATTTACTATTATTACCTAGGTTAATAAATAAAAAAATTTTTAATTAATATTTTTTTACTGAAGTGAAATAGGTGGGTTTGGACCTAAATCCACCATATTTGTGTACCATTTATTTGTTAATTGAAAATAATTTATCATAAATACTAATATTTTCACCTTCAAAATTGACCTGAACCTTTAAACATAAAAAATACTGTTATCAACTCAGAAAATAAAATGTTACGTAATTATTCTAAATTAATATTTTATAGATAAATATTATCTATAGTTTCTAAGATTCAATTGTAAAATTATAAGTAAATCTATTTTTCTTGTATAAATAAAAAAAATAAATAAAATTAACAAAATAAATGATAATTTTTAATTACAATTAATATTTGAACAATTACATACATTTTATTACTTTCTTTAATTATTTATTTTTTGTTTCAGACGTAAAGATTTATTTTTATTTTAATGTTTTTATTCATATTATATTATCTTAATTAATTCATTAATATTTTGACAATTATGCCATTAATCATTTTCTATTACATTACAAAATGTCATTTTAACCTTACCAAATCTATTTTATATTTACGTACAAAAATATAACAACAATATTTATGATGAACAAATTATCATCTTTGAATATAAATTAAAAATTATATTCGATTGATTTATAATGAATATAATGTGTTAGGTTATGCGTTATACTGTATGTGAAAATAAAAAGTCCTAAATACAATAAATCTAAGTCAAGTTAACCTAAATTAGATTTTTTCAAGAAATAAAAAAATAAAATAAAACTAATTACATAATTGTTTATATAATAAATTTGTAAATATTTAATATATTTTTACTTTATTGAAACTACTGGTATTTACAAAATTATATTTATTAATATAATAAAAATAAAAATAATATGCATCTAAAATAACGAATTTTTAAATTTTAAGTCTAATTTATAGGTATTTTTGTTTTTTACAGATTATATTTGAGTAGGTACACTTAAGTTTACCATAAAATTCAAATTATTTATCATAATCGAATGGATGCATTTCAACATGTTAGGTAATGAATTTAGTTTTCTATAAAGGTAAGCATTTAACAAAAATTTAATATTTTCCTACAATTATTATTATTTTGTAGTTTTTTATTTTATTGATTATATATCTTATTGAGATAGCCTCCTTGTTCTAGGATTTTAACATAGTTAGACTTATGCTTATCATAAGTAACATTTTTTGATTTATCTCCCTAAAATATATTTTGCATAATTATGTATTATAATAATTTAAAAATAAGTTTAAACAGATTAAACTACAATATTTAGTTCGGTCGCAGTTGTAAAAATGACTATTTTAATTGTTAATTGTATAACCTTTTCTTTCTGGTTACATCTTAAGTATTAATATACCTATTAAGTAAATGTATATTTAAGCTTAATTTGTTCTATTATAAAAACACAGGAAATAGAGTTCATAAGGAAGTGAGATGTTAACTTTAAGCGTTTTTAATGTGCCAAGTTTCTGAATGCATTATAACTTATTATAATAGTTACTTATATAAATATAGGTTATGTATTTTTCTTTTGTCTGCAGTAGTTTCACACGAATGTGTCAAATGTAAGTTACTATGTTGAAAGTTGAAGAACACATAGTTAATTTATTTTAATATTTTATGTTATTATTATTCGGTAATATTTAATTACCAAATAATTTACATTGCTAAATTGGGTAGATTCTTTTAAGTGTGTAAATATTTATCAAAATGCAATACATTAGTAAGTAATAGGATATCCTACTGTAAAAATCATTTAAATACAAAAATAAATCCAAAAATGAAACATTTTAAGCTATTCTATTGTACCTAAACATGGTGTTATTTTAAAACGCACTGCATATGTAAAATATATAACATAAATGAGGTTATTTTTTTGGGACAAATCCCAGACAGAATAAGAGCACGTGTCTCTTTTGATTTACAGACGTTTCGATTTCCGGCATTACGTTTCTTGTGGGTGTATTATAGTACTTTTACGTTTTACGACACACAAAAATAGACAGTATATATTCACATTACGTAATACTGGATTTGAAATAATATGGATTACTAGTACGTTTTGAGATTTGTGTTTTAGAACTATTTACCAAAAATCATAAGCATTTTTACAATTTTATATTTACGTTTCATTACTTTTATATAAAATAATATAAAATATTACTTACATTTACTTTTTATTATACAGTATTTGATATGAATGCTGTAATTGATGTTATAGTAATCAACAAATTATTATGAACAAAATAACTACATATTTTAGTACTTAATTTAAGTTATGAAAGTTAAAAAATGGTATATAATAATGCTGTTTTATTTTTATCATAAAAGTTGTATTATTTATTAAATATATACCTAAGTAATGAGTAATTTAATTATAGTTTACAGTTAAATATATTGTAATAGTTAAATATTTTATTTATGTATTTAAAAAATGCATGTATATATTATATAAGAGTATTATTATTTTTGATTTAATGAAATAATTCTCATTGACGCTTTGGATAGAAACGTTTCCAAGTATGTATTTGAAGTTAAAAAAAAATTACCAATCGCAGTATCAATAATACACTCTTTGTTCATTGAGTTTTCTTTCTATATAAATACAACCAGTATAAAATTAAGCGATATTGCGTTATTTTGCATGAAATTTGGAATATATATATTCTATATTATACGTATAAGATATTGCAAGCTGAATAATATATGACTATGAAAAGAATTAATCACTCGAAAAATTCAGAGGGGATTATGCCTTTTTAGAAAGGTAGACAGCTGTAAACAGTAAATGGTTTTCTGAAAATAGGAAATAGCCTGGGTTTCGTTTAGCCCCAGAGGGTATAATTTAACTCGCGTTTGACATCTGTTACAATTTCTTTTTCCTTCTTTACTTCTGCTTTCTATACAAGCCACGTGCCACATGGTGTCTAGTACTTACATATAGGTATAAGGTAAACATCGGAAATCATTAATGATGGTTACTTGTTACTATACTATTTTTAATGACATATAATAATACTTTTTGTTATTATCTTCGAAAAAAAATTACTCGCAAAAATGATTTACTAATTGTAATATTTTAATACTTTTCTAAATATTAGGTAGTTTATTGTTAATGAAGTGTATGTAGAAATTATAGTATATTATATATTATAAAGCTGATGCAGCAGCTAGTATAATCTTATACTTTTGAAGTATTCAAAATAATTCAATCTATACTTAGTTCAGTTTTTTCTAGTTTTACTTAATTTTATATGCATTTAGTGTGCATAAAGGTTCACCCTAAGATTTTTTTTTATCAATTGATACCGTGTTGTAGAATCGTTAATACACATTGAGTTTTGTTATTTAATTAATTTAATTACACTGTAAACACAGTTCTCTGCAGTATATCTATAAACTTTATTGTGTTTGTGATTTCACACCAGATTAATTTACCCCTCTCCCTCACAATCACAACATGACTAACTCATGGTTATGTCACTGGTAATGCATTACAAGTATTTATAACAATAGTAAACGGATTTCATTTTAAACTTACCTCAAAAATTGTTATGAGTAGTATAAAGAGTGGAGGTGGGCAACAGCGATAATTGTCCGCATAATATTTTCGATCTCTTTCGTCCGTCAAGAACTCCTCTGCTACAAAACGTACCATTCTATAAAAAATATAACATTAATACATTTAAACGAACAAAAACTTAGATCGTATACAAATATATAGTACAATATATTATAAGCTAAAATTAAAAAAAGACTAACAGAAATGATAATCATTATCAATGATAACACAAAAGTCATCGGTGTGACATAGATTTCGAAGAATGGAAATAAATAAGTAATGGGAAATAATTCAATTAAATAGTCGACGGTTTATCATGATCTAGTAAACTTTAGATTAGAAATTTATTTAATTTACGGCAGTTAGGTTTTAAGGTCAACTGCAGTTAATAGTATGTTCGTGTTTAATTATAATAATAAAATAATAAACCAACGTTAACTTGGATGATTTCAATTTCAATTTTCCTGAGAACAAAAGAGTTATTTTTGCTAATTAATAATTATATTTAAAATAACACATTTATATGATAATAATATGGTGTTACAAATTACTAGCAATACAAAGATATCATTGATAACGACAACTAAGTAGGAAAAATCATTTTATAATAATTTTATTTAAAGAAGGTTTATTCATTTAAAACATTTTTTTTCTTTTAGCTTAATACTGTTATACTAAATTGTGCAAGTTATTGGTCAAGGACAATTAATATATATTAATACTAAATATAAACAATTATATAAGTATTTCTAAGAAATAAAAATATATCAGGTGTTACTTTACCGAAATGTCTTACAAATAACAAGTAACATCATAATTTTACACTTAAATAAATCATAAATCAGTGAACTTACTTTTGGTGTAACGTTGGTTCTTGAAATATAATATGAAAATCGTTTTCGCTGTTAATTTCTTTGTCCCTGTGATGAATGGCGCATTTAAAACTCCGTCTCCTTTTGCCGGACATCTAAAACAAATATTTTAATGAGTACATCTGCTGTTCCGAAGTAAACAATACTTTTTTAAATTAATTTAGATCGTTCAGTGTATTGCAAATATAATTATATGACTAGAAATACGATTTAAATAATAAAGTGATATTATTGTACATATTTAATGAAATATTTTAATCAACGTATTAGGAATATTATTCTTTTATTATTATTTAATGTAAAACAACATGGAACAGTTTTTGATATAATCTCAATTTTTAGGTCACTTTATTGTTCTTAGTTCTTAGTTCTAATCTCTTATAATAATTATGTAATACATCAAACGATTAAATTATAAATACTTGAGTACCTAACTTTAATAATATAAAATGTTCAAAAAAAAAAAAAAATAATATTTTATTTGTCTTTTAACTTTTACAAATTATCTAATTAAATTTATTTCCTAGTAATTTTTTTTTAACTATATATCAAGAGTTATAAAATGTACAAACGATAATTTTTTATAAAATTAAAATATTAATTGAAATATTGTAGGAGGGGGGGGGGGAAGTGAAATGAGTAAAATATGTATCGTCAACTAAAAATGATAAAATAATAAACCAACAATCATTAATATTACTAAGTATAAGTATATAATTTTACTATGATATATTAGATGATGTTATTTAAATTGTGAAAATTAGTACCTACTGAATTAAATGTACTCGATTAGAATACTTAGAATGAAACTGTTTCCATTTTCTATCATATACGTGTATAAGTTATTATAATTACGAGTAAATAAGTTACTTTAATTATAAACATTAATAATACACACAATCGACATTGGATCTAAGATAGTGTTTTCATTTTTCTTCCACGTCATAACGGTTCACACGTTTTTAGTTATAATATTTTCTAATTTCTATGCGATAGCTCAAAACATCTTTTATGTAATGAGATAATACGTTGATATGGTATTATTATAATATAGAGCATTGTATTTTTATTAGTATTAATATTATTCAAAATGCCTTTTAACATACATTAAAGCAATCCGCTGGCTATGTTCCCGGCGCTAGTTGAAGTTTTTTTTTATTAAGAATTCACTGTAGTGCCTCAAACTGAACGGTAGAGTTGAAGAGGGAAAGGACAAAAGCGTTTCGGCACGATTGTCCAGGCTACGAGTCGCATATGAAATGAGGGCCATCTTGCTAAAAGAGAGATAAATACAAAAATTTTCGTGTGCGTGTATGTATTTTATATAGGACACTTATTATTCTCGGGATTCCCTAGATGAATTACGACCAAGTTATGGAAATATTTACTTTGTTGGTTCGATTAAGAATATAATATGTACCTAGTTTAAGAATGTTGAGAGAGAATGCAAATATAACTTTAAAGTATAAACAAATAGTCGGAGAAATATAACCACGTAAAATAAACAACGGTTCACAATTACACCTAAACCATATTATTGAGCTCTAAAAGCATTTAATAAAATTATCATTTTTTTTTTTACAGAAATAATAAAGGAACTCGAGTATCATAAATCACAATAAGGCAAGAATATAGTTCAACATGTATAATAGATATGCGACCAAGTAAAATTTACGCTTGTGTTAGGTGATAAAAGCTGGGATTTAAATGTGGAGGAATTTAAGGGACTACTTAGTCCTTTACCTAAAATCATTTAAAAAGCTTTCTTTACTTCAAGAAGTGAATTGTAAAGATCTAATCTGTCTTCAAATGATTATTTTTATTGAAAACATTAATTTATTTTTGAAAATTTGTTAGTTGTTTCATCAAGAAATTAATTATACGTATTTCATCAAAAATATTTACTTTAGTACAAAAATATTTTTTCAGGTTTTTATTTTTTTGTTGTTGTTGTTGTTTAGAGAACTCAAATGTGTTTAAAAATTAATAATAATAGTCGACAGATATCTAAAGATTTAATCATTATAATTTCCCTAGAACCACATGTTTTTAAAATATTTACTTTTATAGTTTTTTTTATACATAAAATATAAAATTAAAATAATGCATATACATTATGTGTATACATATAGGATATACTATACTACAATCATATAGCCTTACAAATTATTTAGAGGTTACTACTGATATAATTTTTGCCACTGCCCACTTCAATCCCTGAATGAGTAATAATAAATAAGTAATAAATAATAAATAGTAAGTATATTAAATTAAACCCTTGTCGATGAAGCGACGTTTGAAATATAAAATATAGTCCATAAATATTGTCATAGATAGGTAGTATAAAATTGTATAATAAGTTTATGTCTTGTGAGAACCGGAGATCGTAATTTCAGAAATTCTTATTAATAATAAGGAGCGCCTTCAATTGCCGCCACTCCTCAAGTATGCGCTAATAACTCTGGTGTTGTTATGTTCTCGTGAACTGAAGTTAATTATTTGTTGTTAAATAAAGACATTTATATAAAACCTTATAATTAAATCACACTCATTTAGTTCTCGATATCGATTAACAAACAAATAGTACCGTTATTCAAAATATCTATACCATTTGTTTAGATATCTAGTATTTGAATAATAAAAATGTTTTCATTTGAATATGCAATTCAAATAGATGTATAAAGTAGATTAAAGAAATCTAGTTTTAATGATTTAATTTTACGTTCAGTCCATCGTATATAGTCGTAGTGTAAATAATTTATAAGTTTTGTCTTCGTATTTATATTATCAGAAACATTTTTTAATTAGACTTCGCTGCGCTTGATTGGCAATATACTTAAAAAAAAAAATGCTCCGATGGGAAAAACTCACGAATTATCATCGGTTTAAAAACGAAATTTTTAATTACTGTTTACAGCGAATTGTGTAATACCGAATCTACTCTCTCATCCCAGGCAGGTCGGTGTCACGGACGGTCATGGGTACATCCTCTAGTTAAGAACGCTAAAAGTTTCTATGGTGAACAACATATTTTTTCATCGTTCTTATTATTCTTATTATTCACTTGAACGATTACGACTAGATCGGCTAATGACGTAACCCTTCTTGTGCCTATAGTCCTATATAGGTACTTTAATTAGTGTATTTTCCCGTCGACTTCAATTTGTCACACTCAGTATACAAAAATGGCTGAATATAATAAAGTATGTTTTAAAATTTAATATTATGTAAAATAAAAATCAATAGTTAAAAATATGTAATAGTGAACCGTCGTTCATGATCATTGTATATATTGTAAAATGTATGCACATACCTGTAGGTACTATAGAAGATGTATTTCATAGTATACATGAGTATAAATACATTAGAAAAAAATTAAAATCTATTTTATGATGACCACAACAATTTTAAGTTATTTTTGGAATTGAAGATTAGACGATGAGGAATGAGTGTCTAGTACGGAAATAGCCAAACAAGAAAATGTAACATTTAATGACATATTTCGAATTGTTAACGGTGTCTTGCATTCGAAATAATTAAATGGTTTGACTAGAGAAATATTTTTTGTTACTCAAAGTCTATAAGTTTAAAAATACGATTGTTTTTTATTTTTTTAATCCAATGACTTGAAATATATATTTATACAATTATACAAATAGATAGATTGAGACGATTGAGTGCAGTGTGATCACTGAATCGTATAGACGAAACTAGCAGGTGTTATAGTGTGTCTACAGAAGTTGGGAATCAAAGATGTTATGCATGTATGTGCACCGGATAAATAAACATAAAACATGTCTGTACATGAGCTGTCGTGCTGAATAATAAGACTTGGCGCGTCTTCTATCGGATTTATCGGTGGCGTCGGCAGTGGTAGTAGTGGCGGCGGTGGTGGCAAATCAAAACGATAGTCGCGCGTCGTTTTATTATTGATTTTCTTCTTTCTTTTTGTTTTGTATTTTCAACGGTCGAACGGCACACGACACGTGAGCGAATGTCGCGTGTGCCGAAAATGAGACTGGAAAACCGACAGGCTAGAAAACCCATACATGTACAAATAAATTTAAAAGAAATAACTGTTATTACATCTATAAATCAGGTATAATATACTTCTTATAATTATTATACTTTCACTATAGGTATGTGTTTGGCTACATCGTGAACGTTTATCCCGCGTTCATATATATCTGATACCATGTAACTTAATCCGGATATATTTTGGTAGGTAACTAAAAACGTAACAAAGTTTCATATATCACCTACCTACAAAATATTTTAAAATACTTTTTACCAATTTCTTATCTAAAAAGTTAAAGTACTGACTATTGTGTAACATGTTCAATGTCCATACAAAATTCGATTTAGGCGACGATCTATAACGTTTACTGAGACGGGTCCTTTTCGGAATTCATTCAAGAACATAAGTGTTTTAGACGTTTCAGTATTGAATTAGATAGGTATGGCCGTATGGGCCATTTTAGTAAACAAAACATCCTTTTATACGATGTATACACGGAAAAAAGTGGCAAAGTCAATTTTAATGAAAATAATAAAACTCGAAAAGGGCTCTTTTCGAGATTTGTAATTCAATTATTGTCATATTAATATAATCATACGCGTCTGATATCAACAGGGTTGGATTTCTTAGGAAACAGTGAAATTACACGTTTCGTACCATCACCGATTTCAGCTCGTGGACGAATTCAGTTATATACGGTATCTAAATACGCACCCCGTGGCTGTTGTCGTCGCTTAACCGCTTCCTCTGTACGCAAAACTATCGCACACAGTGGTGTGTACCTATCGCAGAGTATTGTACCACACACGATACCATAATAATATATATATATACATACACATATATACACATAATAATAGAATTATATCGAACAGCTTCCGCCCGGGCGAACGTCCGATCGGCGCGCGCGTCCTGTAGCGCCACCGCCGCCGCCGCGGGACCCGCAAACGACCCGTGCTCCGTGTGTGGCACTGTATCCGCGTGGCGCTTCCCCACACACGATATTTATCTATACGTATTGTATACAATATCATCATTGTCGTGTATACGTATATAATATATATGTACATAAGATTA